CTCTCTAACTAGTCATCAATAGGAAACTGATAATATCTCTCTCTTTCTGCAAGCATTTTTCTAATTTTTGCCTCAGGTTATATGTTTTCACCATATGTTTGGGATAATCACACTCTATGCACAAAACTATAAGAACGTTTAGAGCCAAGCAACAATACCCATTAGTTTCCTCTACAAATTTAACAGATAGAATTGAAAAAATACCTCGAGAAAGCGAATGTGGTAAACAGGGCACTTCTCTGGATCCTTTGCTAGAGAAAGAAGATTTTGATGTAACACAACATCTTCCACCTTTTCCATGTTAACATCAAGTCCATAACTGACACAGAATAATTATCAAAAACGAAGTTAATAATTTAAGAAGAATGGAGTAGACCCTCCCTACCCAAAAATACCATATAGCGATGTGATTTTTATAGGTTTTACTCCTATACTTGCCTGCCATTCAGAATTCCATCTTCTATTTTCCAATGAGAAAACATAATCAAAAAGATCATAAAGTAGGGGATGAAGATAAGCCATAAGCGCCAAGCCCAAGCCATTGGATTATTATTTGAAAAAAAAACTGAAGTAGTTTTTTATAACATTAGTAAATTTCTTATCCAAAAAAGTCTGAGGTGACACAATACAAGTTTAAAAATTCTATAGTACTTCAAGTCTTGATCCTTATGTTCAAAAAATCTGCCTTTCTTTTCCACTCACAAGTACTACCAAAGAGCTCAGCAAGCATAAGAGATGTGATAGCAAAAAAATTTAATCATCAAAATAAAATTTAAAGCGCTTTAATCTGTTCCCTGTGTCTCCAAACAAACTACTAAATACTTTCAGTTCTCATCTAAATTTCAGTAACTTCATCAGAAATACATCATTTTCTAAAGTCAGAAGATGCACTGATGAACTCGGAACATATTAGTTTTGTAGGGAAGAAAATGTTGAAATGTGAAGGACTTTTTTAATGGAACAACTAAGGCAATAACTACAGTGATGACAAGTAAAAATGCTTCCCAAACTCTGAATGGAATCAGAGAAGTACTTTTATTAAAATGAACTCATATAATAGAAGTGAAACATTGTGAAAGAATAAAAAACGCAAGTGCAATATATGACCCTTAGCTAGCATGATGAATAGAGACTTTATCTTATTAAAGGTCCAGTCAACAAATAGGATGATCAAGTTGAGGGCAACCTCGTCTTCCCCTAACGTTCTTTCAAGGCCAAAGCAAAAGTTCAGTGAACCTCACAAAGATCACTTACGGTTACTCCTTGCTCTTAGAGTGAGTTTTCTTATAACCTTAAAAGCTAAGTAGCTAGTGGCTGTTCGTCTATCTAAGTGGTAGGATGAGCCTGAACTTTTTGTTTTTAAGAAGTGACACCATTTAGGATCAAATTTCTCACCTCGGCCATTGAATAGCTAGGAAAGAAGAACAATATCTCACCATTTATGGAAACAACGTTAGAGGGCTCTTTAGAATATTATGTATCAGGACCATGACTGACAACAACACTTAAAAAAGATTCATTGGTAAGAATAAACTGAACATTTTACATGTTGCTATGAACACGAGTTCTAAATTCTAATGTCTAAAGTACAAGTCAATTATAAGCATCTCAAATAATTATGTGCCTCCAGCTCCAAGGAGCATTCATGTAAAACAACTAACCTTTCTCTTGACTTGAATATAAATGGTTATTTTCGTAATCAATATAATTGTATTCTACAGCATATCAACCTTCAATCTACAGCATATCAACCTTCAATCAAATTACACATGAACTCTCGCCTTCATCCATATCATGACTACGCCATTGTTCCTTCATTGTTTGTAATATTTAAGCACTAAGATGTTAAGCTGGGAAGTTCAACCTTACTACAAACAAGTAAAAATGCAATCCAAATTTAATATATATCGTCTAGTAATAATTATTTAAAAAACCAATGAAGTCTCAATTAACCATTCAATTTCTGAACACGCTTTTAAAATATGACCTAAATTTTAAAAACTAAAACAAGCAATTAAAAAGAATCCGTTCTTTGGTATCAAAAACAGAAAATTCAAAAAAGAAATCGTCATCTCACGAACCCTCCCAGCATCAGAATACAGCATATCAATTAGCAGAGGTGGTAGGATTATGACAGACATGTGATAGAAAGGAAAAATCCCCCCACCAAAATCAGGAATCACTAATCAGCTTCCTAATTCAGTTAGACAAACTACATCCACTACAAATTCCTAGGAAAAAATCGAAAAGCAACTAAAGCAAAGGATGCAAAAAGCACTTACACTAACACTCACACCATTAAAGCAACTCAAAATCAAACACAAAAAGAGAGTGAAAACACATAGAAAACAGAAAATAAAACAAAGCTAGAAACAAAAAGTCAAAAATCCAAATCAGAGTTAAAAATATCGAATGAAACTACCTTGGAGGCAAGCGATTGAAGTGTGCATCCAAGTTCTCACGAAACAGTGGATTAGAAGCGGCCTCCTCATGTCCACTCTCAACCAACCGAGTATAAACATCGTTCCGAATATCGTGGACACCACAGAAGGCACCGAAGCTTCGAGGCGGCGAAGAACTCTCTCCAACACCTTCAACGAAATCCATATCCACCAAGGAATCAACAGAGACGAGGAAAAGCCATTAGGAAAGAAAGCGAGATTGGGAAAAATTGGGGGAGAAAGGCAGAGAAGAAGATTAGGATATTTATTGCTCAGTAGAGAGGATCTTTGACTGCTGAAGAATCTTGAGGAAGAAGATGGACTGGTTTGGTAATTTGGAGTGAAGCGGGAGGGCAATTTCGTCATAAAGACTTTGAAATTTGAGGCCAAATAAATAAGCGAATTTCAAATTTCGAAGGTTGTTTTAATAGTTTCTATTTATACTCTCAGGAAGTTGGTGCAGAATGGAAATGGATACTGGATAGAGTCTGTATAAGGCTGACGTGTCAAAAACGAAGAATGTTCTGTTTAATTGACGAAAATACCCTTCCGTTTTGCTTTTAATTACGAGATGATAATTAAAGTCCCCACGCGGTTCTGTAATCTCAACCAGTTGGCTGCAGGTCATATCCAATTAACAGCTGTAAAATCTGAGATCCTCATCAATTTTTACCAATAACTTTTTAAAACTATATTCTTTTAATTTTAATTATATTTTTAAAAGTGATATTCCATATATTATAAAAATATTTATAGGTATTTTTAAGTTTTTAAGACGGGTATTAATTATTAAAAAAAAATCAAAACTGTAATGTATTTATAAACATTATTTAAAATCAACCCGTAAAAATCTGGTCGATAATTCATTTTTAAGTGTGTGTGTCTTTCAACGATGACCTGTACTCCAAATTGAAGTACCTGTTGAGGATTATTGGGAGTGAGTCCCAAGTTGCCTGATTTAAAGAATGATCATGAGTTTATAAGTGGGAAATACTATCTCCATTGGCATGAGTCCACCCACCCTAAGCAAAGACACGAGAGCTTATGCTCAAAGTAAACAATATCATACCATCGTGAAGAGTTGTGATACCTAACAGTAAGATTTTCATCCCGATGTTTGAAGTATGCGAATATGTTGTGCACAGCTTCTGCGTGTATAAAAGTAACATGCACAAATTCCGACATTAAAGTTACTTGCTGATTATTTAACTTTACTAATTATTTTTAATTAATAAGACAACAAAGGTACCATAAACATTTATTAAGTCGAGTTGTAATAGATCATATAAATAAATATATGAAAAAATTAATTTAATTATCTTTGCCTCCTCACAAATATCAAGATATTTTCTCTCCTCAACCCTATCCTCACAAAATCAAATACCATAAATAAAATATTATTTTAGTCACAATCTAACTTAATCATATATTTGTCCAATTATGCCCTTAAATTGTGAAAATACCATTTAAACCCATGCACTTTCAAATGTAATATTATTTTATTTTTATTTTTATTTTTTTCAATTTGAAAGTACAATAAATAAATAAAGGTTGACTCTTGCTTATAACGATATTTCTACTCCAAAAGAGTTTTAAAAGCAATTACACTTTTCTCATAATTATTTTTTAAATAAATAAAAAAATTTAAGTATATATATATTTTATAATTTAGACTAAAAAGACCAATGGGGGTAGAAACGTAAATCTAACACCTGACGTGGCTTTCTAGGAGATTCCAAAGCGGAATCACGTGATTCGGGCGATGTCGGCTCTCCTTTCGTTTTCCGTAAGAATATTCAATTACTTATTTTCTGGGGCCCACCCTTCCACATGTGTATGCCCTCCCGACCATTTATTTTTTTACCCCCAAAAATATCATTTGTACATTAATTTTAATTAATTAATTAATTAATTAATTTTGTAATATTCTCGCCTGCGTCTGTAACTCCCCAAATTCACCGCTAGCAAATATTGTCTTCTTTGAGATTTTCCTTCCGGACTTCCCCTCAAGGCTTTAAAACCCGTCTCCAGAAGGTTTCCACACCCTTATAAATGGTGGTTTGTTCTCCTTCCCAACCATTGTCCTCGCTAACACTCTTTCCTTCCTCCAATCGATATGGGACCGCCCCCAAATCTATCCCCTTTGGGGCCAACGTCGTTACTGGCACACCGCCTCGTGTCTACCCCCATTCGGGGAATAGTGAGAAAGGCTAACACATCGTCCGGTGTTTGGCTCTGATATTATTTGTAACGGCTCAGATCTACCGCTAGCAGATATTGTCTTCTTTGGGCTTTCTCTTTCGGGCTTCCCCTCAAGGCTTTAAAACGCGTTTGCTAAGAGAAAGGTTTCACACCTTGATTTGTTCTCCTCTCCAACCAATGTGGGACATCGCAGCGTCTATTGTCAAACCCTACCAAAATATATTCTCAATCACGAGGCTAGTTGATAGCTCATAAATTAAAAGATCTTATATTAATTATATTTGGAGATAAAGTTAAATAAATTTATAAATGATTATGAAAGGCGTGCATAATTAAGTCATTAATAAAAGGGTGAAGATTCAATAATTTTTCATTATCATCACATGTGAACTTAAATTGTACTCATCTTCATTTCTCTCTCTCCTTCCCCTTGGCAAGAGCACACGGCGCAACATTCTTGATTCCAGCACATTTCCCTCTCGAGCGCGAATCCTCGGGCTAGCCACTCAGGTTCCGTTTTCATCTTTGTAACTGTCTCTTTCGTTTACTTTCCGGTTTTGAGATCTGTTTGGAGTGTAAGTTTTGATTGGTTTTTGAGATCTGGAATAGAAACAAAGAGAAAGAGTTGTTGAGAGGAAGATTAGTGAGATATGGTTGGCAGCGCGATGGGGATGAGTGAGAAGAACGGTGAGGCTGAGATTTTGATCGTAGATTTGGATCCCAATGGTGTTTTTTTGGAGTCTCTAAGCAACGGCGTGGATCTCGATGGAGAACATGATGCGGAATTGAAACAGAATGGGAAGAGGGAGATTGTGCTCGGTAGAAATGTCCACACTACTTGTTTCACCATCACCGAGCCAGATGCCAATGATGAATCCACTGGTGACAAGGATGCTTACATGGCTAGTGTGTTGGCTCGCTATAGAAAGAATCTCGTCGAGAGGACTAAGCATCATTTAGGTTTTTTAGTTTCTTGAAACCTCTGTCTTGTTTCGGGTTGCGAAATTGAAATGTTCGTTGTTCTGATTTGGATTTGTATTTCTGATATTTGTTTTAGGTTACCCTTATAATTTGGACTTCGATTACGGTGCTCTGGGTCAGTTGCAGCATTTCTCGATTAACAATCTCGGCGATCCGTTCATTGAAAGCAATTACGGTGTGCACTCGAGGCAGTTCGAGGTTGGGGTTTTGGATTGGTTTGCTCGTCTTTGGGAGATTGAGAAAAACGACTATTGGGGTTACATTACAAATTGTGGCACCGAAGGCAACCTTCATGGGATTCTCGTCGGGTTAGTTACATTGAGTTTGATTTACTCTTATGTACGGTGTTTATGTATGCTTTTTTAGCAGTGGTGAATTTTTTTTTTTTTTTTTTTTTTGTAGGAGAGAAGTTTTGCCAGATGGGATTCTATATGCTTCTCAGGAATCTCATTATTCCGTTTTTAAAGCGGCTAGAATGTATAGAATGGACTGTGTGAAGGTTGGAACTCTGATATCTGGTGAGATCGATTGTGCTGACCTTAAACTCAAGTTGCTTGCTAACAAAGACAAGCCAGCTATACTCAATGTCAATATTGGTAAATTCTCTTTCCTTTTATTCATGTTTGCAACTAGAAAGGGGATCATATTCGTTTTATTGGTGGGAATTGAGGGAATTCTTGTTACAGGAACCACTGTGAAAGGAGCCGTGGATGATCTCGATCTTGTGATATCAACACTCAACGAATGTGGATTCTCGAATGATCGGTTCTATATTCATTGTGATGGGGCATTGTTTGGACTTATGATGCCTTTTGTCAAACGTGTAAGTGACTTTTTTACCTACTTACAATTTTCGATAGGGCATGTTCAGACTTCCGCTAATTTTTTCTTTACATCTCACACGAGGTAAATGCCCCGTGCTCGATCTTAATTGCATCCATAAGATTTAAATTCTTGTAGGTTGTGTACTGACTTGAAGGAACTTGGTTACTATCCCATTTGGGTCCTATGCCTTGGAGCCTTTCCAATGAGCTACGCTCTAAATGCTAGTTAAAATTCACACAACTACCCTCATCCCTCTAATGATTCTATATACATATCTATTTTCTTCCAAGTTACTGCACCTTTTTTCTTTTGGGTTTTTCCGACTGCCTTCTAATTCTTTCAGAAAGGGTGGTTGCTACTTTCCTATCTTACCGTAGTTCTTTGTTGCTAATTGTGGCCTCCTATCCTATCAATGTTACTTTTACCTTTTTACCCTCACCTATTCCAAAGAATACTCTCTTTTTCATACTGCGTCTGCAAGCACAAAGTTGGCTTGGGCTTCCAGTCATCATCATACACCTGATGAAAGAGCTTTGAAGGCAGCATTGCTCTCCTTCACTCACACAATATTGCTGGACCAAACGTTCTCCTGCTGTCCAAGATTCACCACCATTCCTACTATCAGCCCTTGTTAGAGTTTGGATGTTGCATCAATCTTGTTGTGGCTGATCATCTAAAATGACTAGCTAAACATCATTGACTTGGTCAGAAATGACCAACAACTTAATATCATACATAATCATCAAACAATGCATTTTAACTATCTTTAGGATTTGGCCTGAACTATTTATTAGATTCTTGCACATTATGCACCTCTTTCTTGCTGCCTATCTCCTTGAAAACAATGTTTGACGTGCATGTGTTAAGCATATCGATAACATTTCATATAAGCTAGGTTTAAACTCTTCTTCATAGTGTGATTGGGCCCTATTATGGTAGAACCTAGTGAACCAAGCATACTTCCTAACCTTCTATAAACCTTAGTGTTCATATCATTTATTATTTTCTTTTGCTCAAAATGTTTTGATATCAAAGGGAGTCTTCGTCTTGACAACCGAGTGGATATCAAGGAGAGTCTCAGTTTAGGCGACAAACTTATCTGGTTATGGAGTTACTTTGGTAATAGTAATAATGTGGGAATTTAGACTTCCCCCTATCTGTTAAAGCTATGACATTCCTTCGATCTAGTGGTAGTATATAAGATTTTTGCTCCCCACTTCAAGTATTGACCCAGTCTTCCAAATCTCACAACTAATGGTTGCTAAGCAAAGGCAGAATGGAGAAGGAACCCTTCTTACTTCGTCTTATGTGAAGGAAATTATATAAAAACATTACAATTTTAAAGTTGTCTCTCTACTTTGTCTCTCTCCTACCTATACTTTCAGAATTGAAAGATTATAGGTATAAAAAATGTAATTGCATGTAAAATTTTGCCCCTCTATTTGAACTACTTTTTGTACTAACATTTGATTAGTGATCGGCTGAACTATTTTCATACACGTTAAAGCTTTAAAACATACTCGCGATTATGTTTTGGTTTTATATTCCCCTTCACTGTTGTCTTGCATGAAATGAAAGCAAATATAGAACTGGGTATCTCTGTTTTTTTCTATTTCTTTGCTGGTAATTTTCAATCTGAATTTCTGTAATGCATCCCGGCTCACTAGTGTTGTTTTTGAGCAGGCACCAAAGGTCTCGTTTAAGAAGCCCATTGGAAGTGTTAGTGTTTCTGGTCATAAGTTCATTGGATGTCCAATGCCTTGTGGTGTTCAACTTACAAGGTTGGAGCATATAAATGCCCTCTCAAGGAATGTTGAGTATCTAGCCTCAAGGGATGCCACAATCATGGGAAGCCGGAATGGCCATGCTCCTATCTTCCTTTGGTATACCCTCAACAGAAAAGGCTACACAGGATTTCAAAAGGAAGTTCAGAAGTGTCTCAGAAATGCACACTACCTGAAAGGCCGGCTTCTTGACGCAGGAATTAGCGCAATGCTGAATGAACTTAGCAGCACCGTCGTGTTTGAACGACCTCGAGATGAAGAGTTTGTTCGTAGGTGGCAGCTTGCATGCGAAGGAAATATTGCTCATGTTGTGGTAATGCCCAATGTTATCCAAGAGAAGCTGGATGATTTCATAGCAGAATTGACCGAAAAACGCTCAACCTGGTATGCTGAAGACAAAGATCAACCTCCTTGCCTCGCAGCAGAGTTGGGGAAGGAAAACTGTGCTTGTAAGTTGCACAGGACTTGATATGCTTTTATTGTAGCTTTATTATGTTGCGTTGCTTATTTCTAGTGAAACTCTAGATTCACTTGAATTCTGGTTGTTATAGTCGTGTGTTTCGAGTATTAATGAACGGCTGTAGGCGAGTATTCCGAGTATCAATGAATAATAGTATGTTCTAGAACTCCTCCCTCATCACTATTTATCTATTTGTAGATACTGAACCAAATAATTGTTGAATAAATATCTGATCTCTCTCAGGGAACTTGATATTAGATGAGGAGAACAGCTCGTTCATAACAAGAAATATGATTTGGTCGCTCATAAAGAAGAGAGGCCCTATTATTTGCTGAGTGGTAGTACAATACAATCCTCAATCATCAAAGAGATAATACAGCTTCTATACACATGTATTTGTTTGTTTTTACAAATATACTCAATACAAATTCAAATGTAGAAGACACATGCTGCTACAATTCCTTAGCTTTCGAAATAAAATATTACTAATATCAAGTAATGGATTAGCTGAAGATGTTACTCAGGAAAAGAGGAAAAGCCATTCCAGGAGAATCGATAACTGACCGGGAGTGGCTGGTTATGCTCCGAGAAGCTGCGATGGTGGAGCATCATAGCAGCAGTAGCTATTACTGTTGATGATTCTGAGAGTTGCCAAACTGATGCAAGGATGGCTGGAGAGTATGGAATTGAGGGGGTAGCGCCCCTCCTCCAATGTTGAACGAGCTGCCATTTGCAACAGGCAATTGAGCTGCAGCTATCTTCAGCCGTTGCACTTCCTCCTTCAATGTCTCGTTCAGTGCTGTAATCCACCACCTCAAGTTACCATTTTTATATGAGCCATAGTAAGTAAGAAGATGAATGATGAAGAAGAACCACACATACCATCTCTGAGTTGGGCCTGTTGCTCCATGGCCTGCAGCCTTAGTTTAAGCTCTCTGTTTTCAGTAGTCAATTCAGTGGTATCTCTCTGCACCATATTAGATTACAAGGCTTGATTTAATCAACAGTTTCCACACCTTTTCTAATTCATCAAGAAACCCACAAATTATAAAGCCTGATTATCTGTTCAACAGTTCTTGAAAAGTCAAGATCACCAGTTCCTCCATCAGCACAACAAATTAACAAGTCCAGTTGATAGCTACAGCCCACCCGTGAGACTTGTAAAGTAAGAACAGATAAAAGATTATTGTTCTGATCCCCTTTCCCCTTAAGCTACAACAAAATAGAAGCTATACCTGTAATACAGTGACCTGTGCAGAAAGGGAAGTCGCTTCTGATTGAAGCATCTGCACCTTCTTCTCTAATTCGTTTGTGTAACGTATTTTCCTCTCCTTGGATCGTGCAGCAGATTGTCTGTTCGCCAGGATCCTGAAATGGAAGATTAATCCCAAACGGATCATGAATTAATCAATGTTTAACAAAACTGGCTTATAGACAGCGACTCATAGATTCAATAATCCAAGCAGAAAATGACGGATGAACAACCTCTTAGCTCTTTTAGGGTCCATCAAAGCAAGCTCAGCGAGTTTATCAGGTGCCATGGCCTTCCTGGAGCAATCAATTACGCCGGTGGATTCCGCTTCAAACGACGAGGTCAAAGCGCCATCCATGGAATTGCTATGTCTATGGCGACCGATCTTCTTCTCCCCGACCGTTACCCTCCCGCCAAGTACCTCACCGTCGCTGCCGTCTCCGGCTATCCCTAAGCCGTCGAAGAAGTCTGAATCCATCGACAAACTCCGGCAGTGAGCACCAAAGAAGTCTGAAGCCGAGGTATCGTTACTAGCTTTAGGTTTCGAGGCAGAGGCGTCGTCAGGGGACTTTGAATTGAAGGAATCGAGAGCCATACGAGCGCCCACCGGCGTCGGAGACGGCGACGGCGAGGGAGAACGAAGGGAAGATGATAAATCGTGGTCGGGATGATCGAAGAGGAGAAGATCGTCGAAATTAGCAAAGCGGAAAGATGTATCGGAGTGAGAACGGCGATGGTGATAGCCACGGTGTGGAGTCTCCGGCATCTGTTCTATGTCCATCCTCGTCGCCGTCTGCGGCGGTTTCCGGGCGGTGAAGTTCAAATCCATCATCAAAACTTAAGATGAACTACAGAGGAGAAAGAAAGTAGCTGAGCGAGCTCAAGTTTTGGGCATGGTTAAGAAGAAGAAGCTATTATAGCGGGATTAGTGGGGTGAGATTGTAATTTTCTAAAATGAAGGGTCAAAAACACAATAAGAGGAAAAAGTGGGCATTACTTTGCTTTCATATTATCAAAATTTGGTGGTATTGTGTAATTTGGAGGAAGTTATTTCAGTTGTAAAAAAACAGAGAAAATAAAATAAAAATAAAAAGTATTCAACAATCATTCCATAGGTAAAGGCCAAATTCAAATAATCCAAATCTCGACCTTGTGGTGTCTATAACGACCCAGATCCACCGCTAGCAGATATTGTCCTCTTTGGATTTTCTTTTTCGGGCTTCCCCTTCCACACCCTTATAAATGGTGGTCTGTTCTCCTCTCCAACTGGGTTTTCCTTTTCGGGCTTCCCCTTCCACACGTAAATGGTGGTTTGTTCTTCTCTCCAACCAATGTGGGACATCACAATCCACCCTCCTTGGGGCCCAGCGTCCTTACTGGCACACCGCCTTGTGTCTACCCCCTTCGAGGAACGGCAAGAAGGCTGACACATCGTCGTGTCTAGCTCTGATACCATTTGTAATGCCCCAGATCCACTGCTAGCAGATATTGTTCTCTTTGGGCTTTCCCTTTCAAGCTTCCCCTCAAGGCTTTAAAACGCGTCTCCTAGGGGAAGGTTTCCACACTCTTATAAATGATGGTTTATTCTCCTCCCCAACCAATGTGGGACATCACAATGTCAAGTCGAGCATAGAATGTTTTTCTATATTTTAACGTACGAACTAAGTTATTATTGTATAGAAGACTGAAATGAATTGATACAGTGTCATATTAATTCATGTCGTGATCTACAACCTTTATCAGTTGAGCTATCTACCTCGAGACCCAGCCACTTGGAGATCGAAACCTGCAAGTCATCCAAGTCTAATCAGTTGAGCTACCAACCTCGAGACCACACACCCTTGAGGTGTTTCGATGATAGAATAATTAGCCCTGAAATTATAATATATAGTTGTAATTAAGTTAGAGAAATTAGGTTAGAAATGGATTGAGGTGTTTCCATCCCTACCGACACTTATAATCCATGAATCAAATTGACATCTTACCATTAACGATTAGACAACATGACTTCATTTAGACTTCATTCATGAATTAAGGTAGAAACAATAATAAATAAATAAATAACTTTTTTTATTCATATTTAAGACAAATAAATTTGACCAAACTATATACATCTGACTTAATTTTGTATTATTAAAAGTTTAGAGAATATATTTTACGTAGGATTTATGACTAATAGAGCATATATCGTAGATTTGGAACGTTATTGTGTTATGTTGAAGTTCAGATTGCTTCAAAGACGGTATATTTTACGTTGTTATTGAGGTAAGTAGATCGGATGAATAGTGTGACGTGTGCTATATTGTATAATCCAAGAACATGATGATTATGATATATGCTATGCCCTGATGATTTTTTTGTAAATATTAATGTTGTATTACAACTTATGTTATATACTGTGAGGCCTCGTGTATGTTTGTAATTCATTAGACATGAAATGAAAGGAAAAGGAATAATGATGTACAATAAATGCTATCCCAGAAGCGTAATGTTCGAGTCCCGATGAGGTATTAGATACCTGATATTTCCTATTGAGCCAAAACTTCTGGGATTATATTGAGAGTCTTGGAAAAGTCTCACGAAGTCAAGAAAAATGTTGAAGAATTAGAAAAATGGTATCAAAGCCAGACACGGGACGATATGCCAGTGATGAGGTTAAGCCCCAAAGGGGGTGGACACTAGGCAGTGTACAAGCGAGAAAGCTAGCCCCAAAAGGGGTTGATTGGAGGGTCCACATCTATTAGAGAGAGGAACGAGGACGTTGAGCCTCAAAAGGGGGTGGATTGTGAGATCTCACATCGGTTGAAGAAGAAAACGAAACATTCTTTATTAGGGTGTGGAAACCTCTCCATAGCATACGTGTTTTAGAAACTTTGAGAGGAAGCAGAGAAAGCCCAAAAAAGACAATATCGGCTAGAAGTGAATTGTTAAACATAGGTTACAGACCGTGATATGAGTTTTGTGGGTTCTTCGTGTGCAAAAGTAGTGCACATTGTCTTGGAAAACATTAAAAAATAAATAAAAAAAAAATTTATATATCATGTTATTTTAAAGGAAAAATATTTTTTAGTGACATTTTTATTTTTTATTTTTTATTTTTAAAATATTAAAAAAAAACTTTAATAAAATAACAATTATTTAATAGATTAAAAGTGTTGAAGGAAAAAAAAAAGTAATTTCTTTATTAAAAATAAAAATATACATAGCCCATTGTGTTATGTGGTATAATGGGCCAAAGCCCAAAAGATCTATATTGCTTTTCAATTAGTGGGCCTGATTCTTTCGTTGAAGCCCAATATGGATCCAAAGACAAAGGATGGTCCAACTTCAATTTGGGCCTTACTTATATCTTGAAACCAATCAAATCACAAAATTTCAACCAACCAATAAGCGGAGTCAACTCAACATCTCAGCAGCGGGATTGAATATCCGAATCGAGTCAGAGTTCACGCCCCCGCCTTGAAAAAACAGGACCACAGATCACACGATAGAAGAACACCCAAGACAAAAGATGCACACTCCTCGTGAAAATATTCATCTTCATTGGAGTTTTTAGTAGTAGTCGTGACCAACAACCATCAGTTGTCAGCTCGTAGGTAACGCGAGAGCTTCAACCCCGATTCCTAGTAACACACCCCACACACAAGTACCACCCGACAAAAGGTGGACGAAAGCTACAGACTTTACACAAGTTTCATTTGATATATCTTTTCACAACTCTCTTAAACATTCTCACACACCCATTTTATTCACGACACCTAATATATAAACAAAACCGAGAGTTTTCGTATAATGACCTAAATATGCACATTCAAGTGCTCTAGACACTTCCTAATCGATTGTTGCCCGTCAAGTCCAATTCCAATTGGGGTCGTAGACTCCTCAACCTCCTACATAGTTAAATTTAAATTTTTTAAACATATAGCCAAGAATAAATTCGATCTATATTTCCGAGCTCACATAACACATATTTGAATCTAGACTTTACGGTCGTATATTTTTCCACTCAATTATAATTAAAAAAAAAAATCTTAAGAGATAATTACAAGTCACATCAATTTTTTTTAATTAAAATCGAAAATCATCGCACATTTGAATACAAACGTAAGCCACTAAATAACGATCATTACGGGCTTAACTATAATTACAAGTGAAATTAGTTTTTAATACTTATATTAAGATCATGATTTGGGTAAGATTAAGAACAAATGAATGGATGGATTAATAAGATTATAAAAGGCCAAAAAAGTTGGATTTAGTTGAATAAGATAATGGTATAGTTGGTGGTGGTCACGTGGATTGCACACTCTTCAATAATATTTTATATTATCTTCCTTAGTCTCCACACTTGGTGTAATCCTTCTCACCATTCCAATATTATTTTTGTTTTCTCAAATTATTTAAATATTCTTTACATTATTAAAAAAAAAAAAAAAAAAAAAAAAA